TTCACTGTTAGGGTAGCTAGGATCTGGAACCAACTTCCTAGGGAAGTTTACCTTGGGTAAATTCAAAAAGAGGTTGAATGAACACCTGTCAGGGGTCGTGTGATCCCAGCGTGTGCTCCAGCCAGTGGTGGGGGGTTAGACTAGATGATCTATTCAGGTCCCTTCTGACCCCTAACTACTATGAAGCTATGAAACTACAGTGCATGAACACTGCACTTGCAAAACTACCTGCCTCATTCACACGCATTGTGATATATGCTTTCATTACATGATCACATATTATTTTCCCCATAGGCAATGTGATTCAGTGCTTAGAACATATGGTTTTCACCTCAGCGCTGCCACTAACTTTAGTATGTAGCTTTGGAGAAAACACTCAGTCTGCCTATACCTCAGTTTCCCACATGGGAAAATGGCTAGTAATAATATCGCCCTTGTTAAGATCAACCTAGCTTCATTCAAAAAGTGAGGTATTATTGTTACAGCATTATTATTACAGATTTATTGTCTCATCATGTATTTTATGTCAATAGAAGTTTCAAATAATCTACATGTATTATTATTTATGATTTGTATTTCTGTAGCATCTGGAGCCCTTAATTGAGACTGGGGCTCCCCTCATACTTGACACTGTACAAAAACCTAGCAAGGAACTCCTGCTGCCTTAGAAAGCTTTAAGTCTAAGTAGACAAGCTAGATTAAGATGTTTTAAAGCCAGTGGTGTTATCTCCATTACAGAGAACTGAGGGAAACTGAGGTACAGAAAGATTAAACATTTTGCTTAAGATCAAATAGAAAATTTATGGCAGAGCCAGGAATGAAACTGTTTCCCTGAGTCTTCATCCAATGCTAATCACAAGACCAAACTTTTCATACCTAAAACCATCAGTTCCAAACAGATTTACAAAAATGATCATTTTAAAGTGTAGCCATGAGAATCTGGCAGGCAAGAATACATGCTTCCCCAATGTTTGTATTAGGTGTAACTTTCTTACCTTCCCGAATGGCTGTAACAGGCACTCCCTCCTCTGTTTCCAGACTGATAACTTTCAGAGCCACCAATTGGCCATTGATTCTACGGGGACAGGATGAAATGACATAAACTGACTCAAAAGATGCTCATCAGTGTCTAAGAATAAGTCTACATGGCACAGTGCTGTGCAGAGATAAGTTTAGTACCTGTAATAACAGGTAATTAACTTCATGAGTGGTAATCAAGTTACCCAAGTTAGTTGTGAATGTGTTTGTTCAATTACCAGAGTCAATGGCAGAAGGCAGTTTTGTGCAAAGGTACCTAACCTGGCTCTACACACACTTGTTCTTGGGATTATTCAGCACTTTCTGATAAGGTTTTTAGGGCTCAGTTCTAAACTCCATCAAATTTAAGCTTAGAAGAGGTTTCTAACCCTAGTTAGATTTGTGACTAAATGAGCCCTGGCATAAAACAGACTAGCAATATGACTGCTTTAACTAGTGTAGAATAGACTGCTAAGAACAATTCTGCTGGTTGCGTATCAGTAGAATGCACTGTATTCCCACTCTGTTTTCCCTACAGGCCAAAACCCAGGTAACCTCAAGATGCCCTCATACAAAGGACTCAACCAGGTTTATACCATGCAAGCATTTCCTCATGCCAAGAGAATCCACAGCTACTCCTTTGGAACAGCTTTACGGTCACTTTGCATAGGATTGGCAGTACAAAGAGACCTTTTGAGGACTTAATCCTAGTAAAAAAAGTCTGTGAGTGTTTTTGGGGGTAACAGAATCTTTAAAAATATCCACCATATAACTTGATAAAGAGAGAACAAAACTTTTATTTGCTCCTCTCCTATTTTGGATACTTACTGCATCTACGCATGCTGTTAAGGTGCACAATAAACTCTGGCACAGTTCACGCCAGAGTTATCTGCTCCTGGGTGCAATGTCTACATGTGCTCCTGGGGCCGTAACAATTAGAGCTGGGGTAGAGCAGCCCCAGGCTGGCGGTGTCAGCCCCAGGCTGTAGAGGGGGCATTGGGCAGCAGAGGAGCTGACAGGAGCTGGAGGTCTGGCCCTGGCTGGCTGGGCTGACTGGGTGCAATTTTTACCCAGTGGTCACTGTCCACACAAGTATTTGATCATAGTTAATTACTCTGTCATAAGATAATAGTAGGCAAATCTACAAGAAATGCTAAAAGTGCAGTAGGTTAATTCTACTGCGCATTAGTGTATCATAGCTAAAGCCCTGCTAATGTGCTAATGTGCAATAGAATTAGTCTACTGCACGTTAGAGTCACTTAAAAGATATACACTGATGCTACTACACAGTAGCACTGATTACCACACATGAAGTTAAGTACCTGTTATTACAGGTACTAAACTTAATGCACCATAATTATGGTGCATTAATGCATGTGTAGATGTGCCCACTGTCCCCAGCAGTACCATCTTATGGCAGAGTTAATTAATTTACATATTAATTAATTCTGCATTAAATTAAATTAATTTACAGCACATGTAAATGGTGATGCTTTAATGTGGAGCTAATTAGTCAGCTCCACAGTAAAGCACATGTGTAGATGCACCCACTCAGAATTTAATTTTGAATTAATTCCTTTCATTCTGGTAACTGGACAAAATTAATGAGGAAGTAGAGGGAAGCTCCCTGTGGAACTTGCTTACCTGCTGATCCCCTTGTAAACTGTAGAATAAGAACCGTTGCAGAGCTGCTCAAGATGTAGATAGGATGTGGCAGTTCCAAATGGGAGGCCTCGTCTCTGCTTAGATGAGGAAAATGTGTATTTTTTAGATGTTGTTTTTTTTTTTCCAGCTAAAATAGAGGCTGATGCATAACATTCATTCTGTACATAACTCTTAGTAATTAGATCATGATTCATGGGAACATTGAGCTCAGGATAAATATCTTCCCTTTGGCTCCATGTATACTGTGCACTCACCCATTGGTGTCTCTCCATGAACTTTCTCTCCTGGAAAGGATCACTGTTACTTCGCCGACTCTTTTTCTGAGACTTCTGTACCTGGAGTGTGTGGAACCATGGTGATGGGAATGTAGTCACAGAATGTGGCACTTTGTTTAGACCTGTTGGCTGTGGGAAAAAAGCAAACTAAATCAAGAATAAAATAAGGGCACCCTCTCTCTTACTATTGATGCTATTTTTTCCTTTCATCTTGATTTCTGTGATTCTCAGCTTTTGGTTATATTTCCATCTCCTCTCCCGTATTCATGGCTCTCTGTATAGGCATAATGGGAGCAACTGCTACAACCTTTGTACATACTATAGATGATATTTTAGAATACAGGAGCTGGGCTGCCTTCAACGCTTGGTATCATTTCAATTAATATTACATGTTTTTGGTGACATCCATATTAGACTATCTTCCCCATGATTTCATCTTCTTTCTAGCTTGTAACCTGTGTGGAACAGGGACTATGAGGTAAAATCAGAGGTGAGACTGAAAGGAGTCCCAATTTTCACTTTCTGCTCCTTGTTTCCCCTTTAGTTCCCCTTCATACTAAAACAGTCTTATCACCATGCCTGTATTTGGCGCACTATTCTTCTATTGCTATAAAACACCACAAGAAGTTATAGAGTCCTACAAATACTAAATGACAATAATAGTTATCAGTGAAATTCAGCCTCTTAGCATGTCCTGCCTGTATTACTATTTAATCCAGAAGTAACAGAATTTCTAATCCATGTCATAATGCCTCCTGCAGCAAACTGTAGATCTTTTGCCCCCCGCCCCTTCCTGTTTTTCAGTTTTCTTGTAACAGAAATTGCTGGTGTGGGACCTGTCTTCTCAGATCATCACGCTGACAGGATTCATTGTATCCTTAAACAAGGGGTGATTATAATTCTTCTCTCAGTAGGGTATCCACAAGCCTAACGGTGAGATAGCTGGAAGCTTTCTCTGTTTTCAGTGGAAAGTTTCACTGAAGACTCTAAGATGCTTAATTGACCTAACTGCTGAAATGCTGTTTGGGATACTGAATACCTCCAATGTAGACTCCACTTCCACATGCTGGGACTTCTGGTGGTGTTGACGGCCCTCTCTCTCTGAGCAGCAACCGCAGCATCCTGGTTTCCGAGCTTTTATACACAGGATTTCCCCCATGTTCTCCTAAGTTCAGCTGAAAAAATAGTAGATTGTATGTCTCTCTTGCCTCCGCTGCTTTTTCACCAGAGGTCTGTATTAACAGTGTTCATGTGACTCACACGAGATCTGTCTCAAGCAGTCTCATGATTTCAGCAGTTTTTCTCCGTAAATCCAAAACCCAATGACCCAAATTCATCCCTGGTGTAACTCCACTGACTACAATGAATTTGGCTTAGTATCTTCTAAAAACTGCCAATATTTTATGTACAAACCAAGGAGAAAAAAATACCCACACCAGCCCCTCAAAAATCTTCTCCTCACACAATGTTTTTTTAACTCAGTGTTATTTACCAACAAATAGGAAGTTATATTTCTTACTCAACGGTTCTTGGCCTCCCTTCACATATGTATTGGTTTGTATTGCCTTGTATATCAGTAGGTTTTATTCTAAGGTATATGAGTGAGGTGGTGAATTATGGTTGTAGCAAAAACCCTTAGCTTGAATTTCCTCCCTTCTGCATATTTACATTTTTTAGCCATAGTATGCAAAAAGCTTTGGGAGCTGTATGTCTTTGTTTAGTTGTTTCTGAAGGACAGAGAAAAGTGATTCATGGAATATATTCTGGACAACGATGCAAAGCAGTGCTAGCAAACCAATGAATCCAGCTCAGAATAGATTCAAATAATTATATATTACAAAGGCAGTGTATGCTAGCCTTACGTTGGCCAGAGATCAATGGCTGTGATGGCTGTGTCAACACCAATGCTGCTTCCTGTGCCAGTCATCCTCTTTGATCCACTGTAAGAGGAAGGAATGGGTATGTCATGAGTGTTTTGGGGCCAAAAAAGGAAGGGAGGGAAATGGTAGAGCGAGACTCTGCTACATGTATTCTTCACTGGAATTAGATCCCTACAACTTTCTCTGTGACTGTAGGGGACAGGACTAGGAGCAATGGCTTCAAACTGCAGCAGAGGAAATTTAGGTTGAAGGTTAGGAACAACTTTCTCATTATGAGGGAGGTCAAACACTGGAACGGGTTACCTAGGGAAGTTTTGGAACCTCTGTCCCTGGAAATATTCAAGAATAGGATAGACAGACACTTGGCAGGGCTGGTTTTAATTAGTGATGATCGTCCTCTGTGCAGGGGGCAGAACAAGATGATCTCAAGAGGTCACTTCCTGCCCTACTTTCTTATAATTCTATGATCCTATCCTATGATTCCTGACTGAAGCTTCAAAATTGTCATGTTTTTTTTAATTCATTCTATGAAATCTTCCTTTGACTTCAGTATCCATGGAGTTGAAGTAACCCTCTTTCCCTAATTTAGTGTCGAAAGGAGTTTGTTAATTAAAAAGAAGCACAAGAGTTATTCCTTTGTCCCATTGTTCAGGGAGTTGTAGTAGCCCTAATTCTGTTATAATTCCCCTGGAGTACATGGCCCCAACAAGGGAAAAGATACAGCATAAGAAATTACAGTGCATGGAAGACAGGGAGGTACTTCCAAGCCAAACCCAAACAGGTCTCCAGTGAGCAATTTATTGCTAATACCTCCCATCCCATTTTTTGGTCATTTCCTTCTTTTCTTTGGAGTAGGTTTGTAGTGTTGCTGTAACTGCAATGGTCCAGAAAATGTATGAAAGGCAAGGATTATTTGGATGATATTATTATTAGCCTAGTTCAGTAGTCTAACCGGGGGGGTGGGAGGGCGGAGGGAATCAGGGCAGCAGCCCCAGGCACCCTCTTTGTAAGGGGATGCAAAAGCAGCAACTGATTGCGCTGCTGCTATTGGCATGGCAGCAGCAGGTGCTACCCCAGGTGCCATGCAGCTTCCCTGGGCACAGAGCTGTGCTGTTGAGCCTCTGGCACAATTATATACTTGGGAGAGATGTTAAACAAAACAATTATACTGCTTTAAGAGGATGGGGCAGACTGTTGTTCATCTGAATCTACTCTAAGTGTTATATGTGTTCTCTCTGTGGGTAAAGTTTCATAGTTTCATAGTTTCTAGGGTCGGAAGGGACCTGAGCAGATCATCTAGTCCAACCCCCTGCCATGGCAGGAAGAGCACTGGGGTCAAATGACCCCAGTAAGGTGGTCATCCAACCTCCTCTTAAAAACCCCCAGGGTGGGAGCCTGCACCACCTCACTTGGAAGCTGGTTCCAGACTCTAGCCGCCCTGACCGTGAA